CGTACCTTCAGATGCTAGACCCAATCCATAACCAAGGGCTACGTCTAGCCCTTGGAGCTTTTCGAACAACACCTGTAAAAAGCCTGTACGTGGAAGCAAATGAACCATCCCTTTATGACAGAAGAAAAAAACTTTCATTACAATTTGCAGCTCAATTAAAATCAAACCCTAAAAATCCTGCTTTCGACCAAGTATTCAACCCCAAATACCAAAACATATTTACGCAAAACCAAAAACTTCTGCCAACATTTGGTATCCGAATTTCGAATTTGCTGCAAGAACTGAACATAAAGTTGACGGACATAGCTGAATTTAACATATCTGATGTTCCTCCGTGGACCATTCAAACCCCTGATTTTAACTTTACATTACATGAGCGTGGGAAATCAAGTGTTATGCCCGAAGAACACAAATCCTCCTTTCGGGAATGCATTTCGAATTACCCTTCTCATACACAACTTTACACCGATGGCTCCAAAGAAGGTGAGAAAGTGGCAGCAGCCTGCTGTACTGCTAATACTTGCACTTCAGTCTGACTACCAGACGGCGCCTCCATCTTTTCTGCTGAAGCATGTGCCATTGGTTTGGTCCTCGACCGTATCGATGAACACCGCATTAAAAAGGCAATTATTTGTTCAGACTCTCTATCTGTCCTACAGAGTTTACAGTTACGAGATCCTAAAAACACAATCGTACAAAACCTTGCTCTTCGAATATCTCGTATATTAAAAAAGTCTAAAATAACTTTACTATGGATTCCGAGCCATGTCGGAATAAAAGGCAACGAATTTGCTGACAGGGAAGCAAAAAATGCATTGAATCTCGAACAAACAAATATCAAACTACCATACACAGATTTTAAACCTACTATTCGTACAGCCATTCAAAATGAATGGCAGAAACGCTGGTCTCTGGAGACCAACAACAAACTTTTTAAGATACAACCGAAACTTAAAACATCTATTCCCAGTCGGAAAGATCGTAGAGAGGAAGTTGTCCTCGCTCGGCTCCGCACTGGGCACACATATCCTACTCATTCGTACCTTTTAAAACGAGAAGATATACCTTCATGCCACGCATGTGACACTCCATTTACAGTGGAGCATTTTTTAATAGAATGTTCCGATTTTAAACACATTCGTGATAACTACTTCCGAGTCCCGGATATGAAAACACTTTTCAGTTCCGTGGATTCGAAGGCATTATTTAACTATTTGAAAGACATCGGTCTATTTTATAGACTCTGATGTCTTTTAACCCACCTTACCCTTTTTGACGTTATATATATATCGCATATTCCATATCATCTATTGGTTATCTCTATCATTTTAACCCCCTTTTTATTTTTTATTATCTACACATACAATGCGAATGCTTTTAAAATGAACCATTTTATCTGATTTTATCTTCGCTCCTCACACGTTTGTTAAAAAAAATAAAAATAAATAAAAAATAAAAATAAATAAATCACCATGGCCCTAAATGACCACAGCCGTCGATGGGCCGTTAAACATAAACAAACAAACAAACAAAATCCAAAATAAAATATGCAAGTGTACTTCTTACTAACTTCTCATTGTTATATTTTTGTAACCTAAACAGCAGAACCTATTTTACACTTGATGATAAATTGCTTTGTAAACATAGAAAATATGTGTGTACTATAAATGCAACTACAAGCACGTACCCTATCAAACATCCTCAATCTCATTGTCTGTCTCTAATTTTTAGCACTATGTGTAATAGACAATACATTTTTAAATATTGACACATAAAAAGTAAAGATGGAAAAAATAAAATAAAAACCATATATAGCACTGCAATGACTTTAAATTATCACTGATTACAGCAGCATGGAGTATCATTATACTCGAATACCCATTTTCAACTTTCAGCAAGGGAGTTAATTGTAATCGTTTCTGTGTATGTTCATCATGTGAAATCTAGACACAAATGTTCTTTTCTCAAAAAACTCTCAGTTAAAGGAAACAAGGTCACAGTCAATTATTGATGTGTAAAGCATAATTTTAACATAATTGCCAACATTCTAAAAAAAATCATGAAGAGAAAACGCATGCTCAGAATTAAAACTAAAATGCGTGTATGTACACCCTAAATGAAAATAACTTTTTTAAATGACATCTCTAGAGCTCTTCTTTCAAATGAAATCATCAGAGCTCAGAAAATAGGAATAGCAAATTCAGTGGTTGAAAATGCTCAATTTTAGTGTCCGAACTGGGTCTCCCTCCAAAATAGGGAGAGTTGGCAAGTATGATTTACAAGAAAATCAAATTCAGCACATTTCTTTCCATTTTGATATAGGGAAACATGAATCTTTGTTTCCCTTAGATAAATAACAACAAAGCTCGAGGGAAACATAATTGATCAGGAATACATATATTATTTTACAGAGATAGCACAATAACAATATAAATCATTGATTTTTCTGTTTTAATCAATCAAAACTCGGGGATAATAATGTTTACAGATTTTTAACTTGAGAGGCCCCAAATGTAGGAAATATGACCAGGGGAAACTAGGATGAGAGAGAAACAAAATATTTTATCTTAAAGTCATGTGATCAACATGATCCAATCAAATCTGCTGTTACATAGATGATACATGATCATATAGCTAGTGGACCATGCTTGTTTCATATACAGAGTCTCATTCTATAACACTGAACTGCATTTGAAGCTTTTCTTCAAATCTGACCAAAGTTACCTGTTACATATTACATTATGAAACATACGTAAATACGCTTTCTTTCACAGTTTTACTTTCCAAACTTATTCATAAAAACAAAGTTTTGGAGTCACCTAGTAGATACGAACATTATTCTGGTGATATTGTACACAGCAGTACACTTTTACTGTAACATCAAGGACATAACTTGATTCTACAATATTTTCTTCAATTCATTATTAGTAACAAATATCAAAACTACATCTACATTAGGAATACTACAAAAAAGCAACAAATCCAAAGTATAAAATTAATACTTCTTTCAGATTTGATTTAAATATGCAACTACTCAAACAATACACAATCTAACAAACCAATTTGTCGACACTATCTTTATCACTATTCCTCGTCGGATTATCAAGGTGACAGTGTTTTTAAAAAAAAAATTGTAAGAATGCCCTCTTGTTCTACTACTAATGTTTATGTTTAAACTAAACAAAACTTGTATATAAACATCGAAAAAAAAATGGGGAGGGGGGATGTTAGTATTTGAAAAATTATTGTAACTGTACAGGCCCTGTGTACCATTTTAACACATGATTATGATTGTAAGTAAGAGTTATCTTTCCTGAATAAATCAACTTCCTGTTCATGGCGAATGGAAGGATGACTTGAAAAATGCGAGACGAGATCTTAGTTGTCGTTGTCTAGGAAGATAAGGAGACATATTCGTCAGGTTTGCTTCGAATAATATTAACACGTTGTATCCATTGACTCCAATATTCAATGAGCATGGCTAAATGTCTGTTTTTTAAGGGCACGAGCGGATGTCGACTGTCTTTTGAATAAGTCATGAAAGTGAAAGCAGTTAAAGTCTTTCGAGACTGGGAAGCATACGCATTGGATTTCATCAGTGTTTTTTGTACTGCTATGGATCTTTCTGTAGTTATTGTGAGTTTTTAATGCGTCTTGAACTGAATTACTGTATATCTATACCCATCCGGTCCCATATAAAAGACAAATATATACAGGTCCAGTACACTCTGTGCCGATTGAGCTATATTGCAGTATTGCTGTAAAGACCTATAATAGCTCTATTGACCTATCTGAAATAGGTATTTTGAGCTATTTTCATATGATTTTCTTTTTTAAGGAAAATGAAACAAAGTCGCTTTTAAAAGAAGCTTTTATCATTAGGTTGATAACAAAAACTAGACATTAAATATAAGTAGCATATCTACACATCCAAAGACACTCATTCTTTCCATACACCATAATACAGTGGAACCTCCTACCTAAAACAATCATTGAATCAGAAACGCTAGCAGAATTCAGGACATGCACAACATATAACATAATCAAACATATACAAAACCAACAACATAACTAACACTCACTGCTTTTAACCTGTTTTTATCCTATATAGCNAAAAAAAAAAAAAAAAAAAAATCACTACATAACAGCGCACCACAGCACAAGACCCAAACTACAAAACTCTGTAATTCTCAATATTGACGGAGGAACTTTCATAGATGAATATGAAGATAAATATTCTTTTTAAAAAATAACGATATAAATAAACATCTAAATGTATGCTTTTTGTAGTCAACATTTCCATAAACCTTATTGTTTTAATGCGACTTTGCTTTAATTTAATGAAAATTGAAATCTGAGAAAATATAGCTCAATACAGCTATAATTTATAGGTGAATCTAGCTATATAGGTCTTTATAGCTATATAGCTCAATTGGCAGAGTGTACTGGACCTGATATAGATCTACTAGTATGTCAAAGGGGTATAACACAGGGGTTCATTACAAATGTCTGAAATACACACATGCTTTACTGATATGTGTGCTGTGACCCATATTAGTTATAGCATATGTGTAATTCAGACATTTGTAACGAACCCCTGTGGTTGTAATAAGGATTATACCTGATATATACCCTCTATCATCAGGAATAAGATATGGATTTTAAGCAGCATCAACCCGTATTGACCATCATAAAATCAAATCTGTGAGCAATTTATTACATTTCAGAAGTTAACAAGCTGCACACCAGAGTATGATGGCATCTAAAAAGCAATCCAACTGTCCCCATGTGTCCTATGTTGATAGTGTTACCTGGGAGGAACTCCGCACTAAACATGAGGTAAAGAAAGCTAGATAAACGAACAACACTATCAGGTACAAACAAAAGCTACAATCTGACACTATTTAGTACAAACATGAGGTGAAGAATGATCACATGTCATATCAACACACTTAAAGCATTAGTGTGAACTTTTAACTTTAAAAACTTGTCCCCAACAAATATGCGCATACCATGAAGTATCAATGACAACAAGATATAGGACAGTCTCACAAGTCAAAGACTTACAACGACTGGGAGAACAGTGCGACCTGGTGATCTGCATATCCTTCAAAGGAAGCAAAGAATCATGTATTCCTTCCACAATGTGTACTGTCCCTAAACAGAACAATAATACAACAGTTGATATATCCCCGGTATTGTTGGGAACCTAAATTACTTTGGTGTTATTGGATACCTAACAGACTGTCTTCTTTACAGTTGAAGGACCTTACATGCAACACATGTGATGTGAAAGCAAACAATCTATGGTTGTGTCTTGTGGGGGCCTGTCAGTATATTGGTTGTGGTGAGTCTGTCAAGGACCACAGCTCTGAGCATGCCATGGTAAGTCGACTAATACAAACATGTGTCTCTGAATCTCTCTTCATTCAGATGTTATATGTGACGGTGTAGAAATAGGTTTTGCACGTACAGCATGCAGTTTAACATTAATAACTCCGACTAGTACAGTGCTTTCACTTTTGATACAAACAGAATCATTGTTTTCTATACATAACGCTTGAGGTAAAGGTTGACTGTTGAGTCTAATGACATCTGTTGTGCTCAACTCCAGCCAATGACTGTATGATATGTACCGGGGGGTATATCCATATTGTATAATGAATTATTTTATTTTTAACCCAGGACAAAAAACACAGCATGACCATCAACCTTTCCACCCTAAGGATCTGGTGCTATGCTTGTGAGTCAGAAGTCTTTCCTGGCAGGAACAAACCCTTCTTTACGTAAGTATACCTTTTTATTTCATATTGCTGTGAAAAAAATTGTTCTGTTTATTGAATTATACATCACTTTTATACTGGAATACATCATATATGTTAACTATGTTTAAGGCACCTGCTTTCCTTGTACATTCTGTGACCAATCACTCAAATAATAAAAATGATCAGTATGTCACTATTTAACATGATCTATATTAACTAGTCACTGTGGTAGGGTGGCAATGATTCTCACAATATTGATAGTCAGTGTCAATCCCCTGTGTAAAATATATGTGTGGGTGAGAAAAGGAAGTAGCATATGGTAATGTTTGTTATGTTTAAGTATCAAATTTTGTAGAATACCTGAAAACTCGGCAAGCGTTTTGTCTGCCAAGAAGAAAAACAGTATGTTGAGGAAATCTGCATCAAGTTCCACCAACAGTTCTCCGACCCATGGTAATTCATCTGCCGGAGAGGAGTCTGATTCGGACCTTGAGGATGAAAATGTGAAGCCAAGGGGTGAGGCTCTCTAAACAATGGCTGTTGACCATTGTATTAGCTGGATCTCCTTAAAGACAGTGTTGATATATATATCCTCAGAGGGAGGTCACAAAACGATAGCCGTAATGATAGTCACCAGGCCACAGTCAAACACAAAACGATAGCCGTAATGATAGTCACCAGGCCACAGTCAAACACAAAACGATAGCCGTAATGATAGTCACCAGGCCACAGTCAAACACAAAACGATAGCCGTAATGATAGTCACCAGGCCACAGTCAAACACAAAACGATAGCCGTAATGATAGTCACCAGGCCACAGTCAAACACAAAACGATAGCCGTAATGATAGTCACCAGGCCACAGTCAAACACAAAACGATAGCCGTAATGATAGTCACCAGGCCACAGTCAAACACAAAACGATAGCCGTAATGATAGTCACCAGGCCACAGTCAAACACAAAACGATAGCCGTAATGATAGTCACCAGGCCACAGTCAAACACAAAACGATAGCCGTAATGATAGTCACCAGGCCACAGTCAAACACAAAACGATAGCCGTAATGATAGTCACCAGGCCACAGTCAAACACAAAACGATAGCCGTAATGATAGTCACCAGGCCACAGTCAAACACAAAACGATAGCCGTAATGATAGTCACCAGGCCACAGTCAAACACAAAACGATAGCCGTAATGATAGTCACCAGGCCACAGTCAAACACAAAACGATAGCCGTAATGATAGTCACCAGGCCACAGTCAAACACAAAACGATAGCCGTAATGATAGTCACCAGGCCACAGTCAAACACAAAACGATAGCCGTAATGATAGTCACCAGGCCACAGTCAAACACAAAACGATAGCCGTAATGATAGTCACCAGGCCACAGTCAAACACAAAACGATAGCCGTAATGATAGTCACCAGGCCACAGTCAAACACAAAACGATAGCCGTAATGATAGTCACCAGGCCACAGTCAAACACAAAACGATAGCCGTAATGATAGTCACCAGGCCACAGTCAAACACAAAACGATAGCCGTAATGATAGTCACCAGGCCACAGTCAAACACAAAACGATAGCCGTAATGATAGTCACCAGGCCACAGTCAAACACAAAACGATAGCCGTAATGATAGTCACCAGGCCACAGTCAAACACAAAACGATAGCCGTAATGATAGTCACCAGGCCACAGTCAAACACAAAACGATAGCCGTAATGATAGTCACCAGGCCACAGTCAAACACAAAACGATAGCCGTAATGATAGTCACCAGGCCACAGTCAAACACAAAACGATAGCCGTAATGATAGTCACCAGGCCACAGTCAAACACAAAACGATAGCCGTAATGATAGTCACCAGGCCACAGTCAAACACAAAACGATAGCCGTAATGATAGTCACCAGGCCACAGTCAAACACAAAACGATAGCCGTAATGATAGTCACCAGGCCACAGTCAAACACAAAACGATAGCCGTAATGATAGTCACCAGGCCACAGTCAAACACAAAACGATAGCCGTAATGATAGTCACCAGGCCACAGTCAAACACAAAACGATAGCCGTAATGATAGTCACCAGGCCACAGTCAAACACAAAACGATAGCCGTAATGATAGTCACCAGGCCACAGTCAAACACAAAACGATAGCCGTAATGATAGTCACCAGGCCACAGTCAAACACAAAACGATAGCCGTAATGATAGTCACCAGGCCACAGTCAAACACAAAACGATAGCCGTAATGATAGTCACCAGGCCACAGTCAAACACAAAACGATGGTTTTGATAACAGTCATTATTGGCTAGTCAGATTCAAGTCCTAACTATTGTTATAAAACAACATGTATTTTATGGTGCAAAATATTGAGAACTTTAAAAGATGCCCATTCCAATGTAATTGATATACATATCAAGTCTGATTTGACTGTGAAATATTGTTTGTAATGACATTTACTATCGTGTAAGTACATTTACTGACATTCTTTGCAGTACAAGTACATTTATTTTGGTTTCAGGTTTGACTGGACTACAGAACCTAGGAAACACTTGCTACCTAAATTCTGCTCTCCAGGCCTTATCAAACTGGTAAGTAGAAATCTCACAGTCTTGTTTGATTGGTCAGTATAAATTTCACCGTCTTGTCTTATTGGTCAGTATAACTCCAAGAGCCTTGGTTGCTCGTTGTATATCTTTGTGATGTAGATTGTTGGAAAGTTGAAGTCGCCAGATTCATTCTTCGCTGTGTATAATGTTTGCCCATTTTTCCAGTCCTCCTCTGAGTCGGTTCTTCCTTGACTGTCATGGATTTGTGCAGCCAGAGAAAAACCCAAAGCTGTCAAGAAGTTACCAGCGACTGATCAGTGAGGTTTGGCACAAACGAAGGTAAGTTATATCTTCACACTGAAACTTCCCCTAACACAGACATCTAGTTTCTTACCTATGTGGAGTTGATGTCTGGTATAGCGTCAGCAGTACTATGTGTGGTGTCATCTCTTCATGATGTCAACAATAAATTAATGATATTTTCATAATCATAACTTACTTGAGGCTGCAACCTTCGATTAACTTGCCCCTATATCTCTGTGTTTAAGCTAAATGTTAATGTTAACAACATGGTGTTTATAAGAACCTGTACTATAAGCCATACAGTTTGGTGGAGTGTTGTTTGCCAGATGATCCCAATATGACTGGAGGTATGATGCTATCCATTACAGACCAAGCTATGTGATACCTAACAGCGTAGTGAACGGGATAAAGGTGGTCCACCCAATGTTCAGAGGCTATTCACAGCAGGTAAGTCTGATTGAACACTGACATTCAATCTGTGATAAAACAAAAACAATTGACAAAGAGAGATAGTCTTTGATAGAACTACTTAATAAATGATTTCATGTAAATATCACAAATAACCCCTGAATTAGTGTTATATTACCTGTAAAGTATACAAAGTCTCTCATGTATCTATCCAGACACACACACACACATGTACAAAAATATGATCACTGTTCACGTTATTAAGTTATTAATGTCTTTATTCAAAGGATGCTCAAGAGTTTCTGAGATGTTTCATGGATGAGCTGCATGAAGAACTCAAACAGCCACTTCCGTGTGACTCGGACGAAAATGACGATGATTCTGATGACAAAAATGGCGATGAGCCATGCAAGTTTATAGCTTCACACGATCGTCAGTTGTCTATGGATTCTACCAGCAGCAGCCAATCAGAAGATTTCTATGAGACATGTGACTCTGGTTTGAGCAGTGAGCGGTGTTCAGCAGATGTGACAATCAGTGGTGAGGATGGTGAAGCTGTACAAAACACCGAGAACTCCACTCACAGTAACAAAATAGACTCGCACTCCAGAGTGAGCGCTGGTAAAACCTACGCTCGACTTCGGCAGAATGAGGAGAAGGGAGGTAAAGCTCTCAAGGAGGACACTGTGGTGGCAAGTAAACATTTAAAGGAGACTGTCAATCAGATGTCCAAGCGGTCAGGTAGCACCGTGACAATTAACAGCACCACCTGTACAGAGGACAGTGGTCGTCCTGACGACTTCCCTTCTGACGGGGAATCACATCAGAGAAGAGTTCGCTCTAAGTCTAGCCCAAGGTTCAAACGTGCATCAGAAAGCACAGAGGCATTCAGTACCATGTCCAGAAACAGTTACTCCACCAAAATCAATATGAATAAGAAAGGTAACCTATTAGTCTTAATACCAATTGTCTAACATAATAATTCATTATACCTTTTAGTTCACATTTCACATTTTGAAGATTTTGTTCTTGTCACAAGCATAAACATTTTACTGATGTAAAGTTTTACCTACTTTGTGGTAAATTTGTAAATAACTAAGCATTCCTGATGTTGAATCTTTATTACAGTCTATAAACTGCTGACATGTTAAATGGTCTATCCGTACATAACACTGTACCTTAAATCAGTGTTAATGTGTTGTCACCTTACACCATACTCGGTGTAAAACTCTAATTCTACTTTGAATCGTTGTTAGCACTTTGTTACATAACACTGTACCTTAAATCAGTGTTAATGTGTTGTCACCTTACACCATACTCGGTGTAAAACTCTGATTCTACTTTGAATCGTTGTTAGCACTTTGTTACATAACACTGTACCTTAAATCAGTGTTAATGTGTTGTCACCTTACACCATACTCGGTGTAAAACTCTGATTCTACTTTGAATCGTTGTTAGCACTTTGTTACATAACACTGTACCTTAAATCAGTGTTAATGTGTTGTCACCTTACACCATACTCGGTGTAAAACTCTGATTCTACTTTGAATCGTTGTTAGCACTTTGTTACATAACACTGTACCTTAAATCAGTGTTAATGTGTTGTCACCTTACACCATACTCGGTGTAAAACTCTGATTCTACTTTGAATCGTTGTTAGCACTTTGTTACATAACACTGTACCTTAAATCAGTGTTAATGTGTTGTCACCTTACACCATACTCGGTGTAAAACTCTGATTCTACTTTGAATCGTTGTTAGCACTTTGTTACATAACACTGTACCTTGAATCAGTGTTAATGTGTTGTCACCTTACACCATACTCGGTGTAAAACTCTGATTCTACTTTGAATCGTTGTTAGCACTTTGTTACATAACACTGTACCTTGAATCAGTGTTAATGTGTTGTCACCTTACACCATACTCGGTGTAAAACTCTGATTCTACTTTGAATCGTTGTTAGCACTTTGTTACATTACACTGTACCTTAAATCAGTGTTAATTAATGTGTTGTCACCTTACACCATACTCGGTGTAAAACTCTAATTCTACTTTAAATCGTTGTTAGCACTTTGTTACATTACACTGTACCTTGAATCAGTGTTAATGTGTTGTCACCTTACACCATCCTCGGTGTAAAACTCTTATTCTACTTTGAATCGGTGTTAGCACTTTGTTACATTACACTGTACCCTCCATCAGTGTTAATGTGTTGTCACCTTACACCATACTTGGTGTAAAACTCTGATTCTAATTTGAATCGTTGTTAGCACTTTGTTACATTACACTGTACATTGAATCAGTGTTAATGTGCAGTATACTTTAATTCTCTATTCATATCTGAATTTGTAATTTGTAATACCTCTGACGTGTACGTGACTTACCTCTGACGTGTCTGTGACTTACCTCTGACGTGTCCGTGACTTACCTCTGATGTGAATGTGACTTACCTCTGACGTGACTTACCTCTGACGTGTACGTGACTTACCCATGCCGTGTACGTGACTTACCTCTGACGTGTACGTGACTTACCTCTGATGTGTACGTGACTAACCTCTGATGTGTACGTGACTTACCCCTCACGTGTATGTGACTTCCCTCTGACGTGTACTTGACTTCCCTCTGACGTGTACTTGACTTACATCTGACGTGTACATGACTTACCTCTGACGTGTACGTGACTTACCCCAGACGTGTACGTGACTTACCCCTGACGTGTACGTGACTTAACCCTGACGTGTACGTGACTCACCGCTGACGTGTACGTGACTCTCCTCTGACGTGTACGTGACTCGCCTCTGACGTGACTTACCTCTGCCGTGTACGTGACTCACCTCTGACGTGTGCGTGACTCACCTCTGACGTGAGTTACCTCTGACGTGTACGTGACTTACCTCTGACGTGTACGTGACTCACCTCTGACGTGACTTACCTCTGACGTGTACGTGACTCACCCCAGACGTGTACGTGACTTACCCCTGACGTGTACGTGACTTACCTCTGACGTGTACGTGCCTCACCTCTGACGTGACTTACCTCTGACGTGTTACTGTACGTGGCTTACCCCTGACGTGTACGTGACTTACCCTTGACGTGTACGTGACTCACCTCTGACGTGTACGTGACTTACCTATAATGTGTACGTGACTAACCTCTGATGTGCACATGACTTACCTGTGATGTGTACATGACTAACCTCTGATGTGTATGTGACTTACCCCTGACGTGTACGTGTCTTCCCTCTGACGTGTTCGTGACTTACCCCTGACGTGTTCGTGACTTACCTCTGACGTGTCACTGTATGTGACTTACCCCTGATGTGTACGTGACTTACCCCTGACGTGTAGGTGACTTACCTCTAACGTGTCACTGTACGTGACTTACCCCTGATGTGTACGTGACTTACCCCTGACGTGTACGTGACTTACCTCTAACGTGTTACTCTACGTGACTTGCCCCTGATGTGTACATGACTTACCTCTGACGTGTTACTGTACGTGACTTACCCCTGATGTGTACATGACTTACCTCTGACGTGTCACTGTACGTGACTTACCCCTGACGTGTACGTGACGCACCCCTGACGTGTACGTGACTCACCTCTGACGTGTACGTGACTTACCTATAATGTGTACGTGACTAACCTCTGATGTGCACGTGACTTACCTGTGATGTGTACATGACTAACCTCTGACGTGTTCGTGACTTACCCCTGACGTGTTCGTGACTTACCTCTGACGTGTCACTGTACGTGACTTACCCCTGATGTGTACGTGACTTACCCCTGATGTGTAGGTGACTTACCTCTAACGTGTTACTCAACGTGACTTACCCCTGACGTGTACGTGACTTACCTCATGTATGTCACTCTGTTTTCAGGCAAGCAGAAAAATGTCCAGTATCAGTCTGTGATCTCGGACATTTTTGATGGAAAGATCCTGAGCTCGGTGCAGTGTTTAACTTGTGAGCGGGTAAGATTAGAGCAGTGAATTGTGATACCCTCACAATTATATATAGTGTACATAGAGTAATCCATGTCTGTCCCGCCCCTCAAAAGTGTACATAGTGTAATCCATCTCTGTCCCGCCCCTCAAGCTCTTTTTATGGTGTACATAGTGTAATCCATCTCTGTCCCGCCCCTCAAGCTCTTTTTATGGTGTACATAGTGTAATCCATTTCTGTCCCGCCCCTCAATAGTGAACATAGTGTAATCCATGTCCGTCCCGCCCCTCAATAGTGTACATAGTTTAATCCATGTCTGTCCCGCCCCTCAAGCTCTTTTTATGGTGTACATAGTGTAATCCATGTCCGCCCCGCCCCTCAATAGTGTCCATAGTGTAATCCATGTCTGTTCCGCCCCTCAAGCTCTATTCATAGTGTACGTAGTGTGATCCATGTCTGTCCGGCCCCTCAAGCTCTATATAGAGTGTACATAGTGTAATCCATGTCCGTCCCGCCCCTCAATAGTGAACATAGTGTAATCCATGTCCGTCCCGCCCCTCAATAGTGTACATAGGGTAATCCATGTCTGTCCCACCCCTCAAGCTCTATATATAGTGTACATAGTGCAATCCATGTCTGTCCCGCCCCTCAAAAGTGTACATAGTGTAATCCATCTCTGTCCCGCCCCTCAAGCTCTATATAGAGTGTACATAGTGTAATCCATGCCTGTCCCGCCCCTCAATAGTGTACATAGTGTAGTCCATGTCTGTCCCGCCCCTCAAGATCTATATATAGTGTACATAGTGTAATCCATCTCTGTCCCGCCCCTCAAGCTCTTTTTATGGTGTACATAGTGTAATCCATATCTGTCCCGCCCCTCAAGCTCTTTTTATGGTGTACATAGTGTAATCCATGTCTGTCCCGCCCCTCAAGCTCTATACTAAGTATGAGAATACCTCAATTCAGTGTATGTTACAGAGTTCCAGGGCCACCATTACTATTTATAGAAACTTTCAAACAATGAACCCTATATTAAATCGGTACAGATGTTGCCGTCCTCACCTAACTGTGGGAATGTCTGTTGATCAGTGGAATCAGAGGATACTCTCACTACTGTTGAAGTTAATTACTGTATGTCCTTCATAGCTCACATTGACTCCTCATGAAAGTCTATCACATATTGATGCTGAAGATCTGAATGTCAGTTTGGACTGTTGATTTCTGCTCTTTGTACAGTGCTGTGGCCTGGATACTAAACTTGTGTACTTGTTATGGTAGGTGTCAACGACTAAGGAGACATTCCAGGACCTGTCCCTGCCCATACCGGGAAAGGACCATCTAAATATGATCCACCACAGTGCTCAGGGGGGTCCGCCAAAGGGCGGGGCATGTGGGGAGGTGCACCAGGGCTGGTTCTCATTCATGTTTACCTGGATGAAAAGGTGGGTTTACTGTATATATATATTGTAGCGTTAAAATGCATCACCCGTTGGGACCAGGGGCGACCGTTTCGCTCCTGGGGGGATATATTGGCAGTAATCCTGGGACAAGGGGTGAAAGTTCACTCCTGGTAGGATAATGTCAGTAATCCGTGAGATTTCCATAGCTTATACATGTGTAGTATGATATAGCCCCTAAGGCCGAACCTAAATGTAGATCATCATGAAATGTATATATTTGTGTATTGTTTATTTCTTCTGTTATATGTATAAACATGTGTATGCTGATTTATAATACATATACAACAATGTTGGTCATAATAACATTGCATACCTCTACAGTTAATAAATAGCATTTATTAAACTGTATCATATTGTTCTGGTTGTTTATAAATAGTGGTATATTGTCTATCATTGTGTACAGAAGTAGTGGTAAATTGTCTATCATTATGTACAGAAGAAATGGTATATTGTCTATCATTGTGTACAGAAGTAGTGGTATATTGTCTATCATTGTGTACAGAAGTAGTGGTAAATTGTCTATCATTATGTACTGAGGTAGTGGTATATTGTCTATCATTGTGTACTGAAGTAGTGGTATATTGTCTATCATTGTGTACTGAAGTAGTGGTATATTGTCTATCATTGTGTACTGAGGTAGTGGTATATTGTCTATCATTGTGTACTGAGGTAGTGGTATATTGTCTATCATTGTGTACTGAAGTAGTGGTATATTGTCTATCATTGTGTACTGAAGTAGTGGTATATTGTCTATCATTGTGTACTGAAGTAGTGGTATATTGTCTATCATTGTGTACTGAAGTAGTGGTATATTGTCTATCATTGTGTACTGAAGTAGTGGTATATTGTCTATCATTGTGTACTGAAGTAGTGGTATATTGTCTATCATTGTGTACTGAAGTAGTGGTATATTGTCTATCATTGTGTACTGAAGTAGTGGTATATTGTCTATCATTGTGTACTGAAGTAGTGGTATATTGTCTATCATTGTGTACTGAAGTAGTGGTATATTGTCTATCATTGTGTACTGAAGTAGTGGTATATTGTCTATCATTGTGTACTGAAGTAGTGGTATATTGTCTATCATTGTGTACTGAAGTAGTGGTATATTGTCTATCATTGTGTACTGAAGTAGTGGTATATTGTCTATCATTGTGTACTGAAGTAGTGGTAAATTGTCTATCATTGTGTACAGAAGTAGTGGTAAATTGTCTATCATTGTGTACAGAAGTAGTGGTATATTGTCTATCATTGTGTACTGAAGTAGTGGTATATTGTCTATCATTGTGTACTGAAGTAGTGGTATATTGTCTATCATTGTGTACTGAAGTAGTGGTATATTGTCTATCATTGTGTACTGAAGTAGTGGTATATTGTCTATCATTGTGTACTGAAGTAGTGGTATATTGTCTATCATTGTGTACTGAAGTAGTGGTATATTGTCTATCATTGTGTACTGAAGTAGTGGTATATTGTCTATCATTGTGTACTGAAGTAGTGGTATATTGTCTATCATTGTGTACTGAAGTAGTGGTATATTGTCTATCATTGTGTACTGAAGTAGTGGTATATTGTCTATCATTGTGTACTGAAGTAGTGGTATATTGTCTATCATTGTGTACTGAAGTAGTGGTATATTGTCTATCATTGTGTACTGAAGTAGTGGTATATTGTCTATCATTGTGTACTGAAGTAGTGGTATATTGTCTATCATTGTGTACTGAAGTAGTGGTATATTGTCTATCATTGTGTACTGAAGTAGTGGTATATTGTCTATCATTGTGTACTGAAGTAGTGGTATATTGTCTATCATTGTGTACTGAAGTAGTGGTATATTGTCTATCATTGTGTACTGAAGTAGTGGTATATTGTCTATCATTGTGTACTGAAGTAGTGGTATATTGTCTATCATTGTGTACTGAAGTAGTGGTATATTGTCTATCATTGTGTACTGAAGTAGTGGTATATTGTCTATCATTGTGTACTGAAGTAGTGGTATATTGTCTATCATTGTGTACTGAAGTAGTGGTATATTGTCTATCATTGTGTACTGAAGTAGTGGTATATTGTCTATCATTGTGTACTGAAGTAGTGGTAAATTGTCTATCATTGTGTACAGAAGTAGTGGTATATTGTCTATCATTGTGTACTGAAGTAGTGGTATATTGTCTATCATTGTGTACTGAAGTAGTGGTAAATTGTCTATCATTGTGTACAGAAGTAGTGGTATATTGTCTATCATTGTGTACTGAAGTAGTGGTATATTGTCTATCATTGTGTACTGAAGTAGTGGTATATTGTCTATCATTGTGTACTGAAGTAGTGGTATATTGTCTATCATTGTGTACTGAAGTAGTGGTATATTGTCTATCATTGTGTACTGAAGTAGTGGTATATTGTCTATCATTGTGTACTGAAGTAGTGGTATATTGTCTATCATTGTGTACTGAAGTAGTGGTATATTGTCTATCATTGTGTACTGAAGTAGTGGTATATTGTCTATCATTGTGTACTGAAGTAGTGGTATATTGTCTATCATTGTGTACTGAAGTAGTGGTATATTGTCTATCATTGTGTACTGAAGTAGTGGTATATTGTCTATCATTGTGTACTGAAGTAGTGGTATATTGTCTATCATTGTGTACTGAAGTAGTGGTATATTGTCTATCATTGTGTACTGAAGTAGTGGTATATTGTCTATCATTGTGTACTGAAGTAGTGGTATATTGTCTATCATTGTGTACTGAAGTAGTGGTAAATTGTCTATCATTGTGTACAGAAGAAGTGGTATATTGTCTATCATTGTGTACTGAAGTAGTGGTATATTGTCTATCAATGTGTACTGAAGTAGTGGTAAATTGTCTATCATTGTGTACAGAAGAAGTGGTATATTGTCTATCATTGTGTACAGAAGAAGTGGTGTGTACTTAGGTTACAATATATCCTCCTCCATTACAGCTGGTTTGTGGGCCCCACCATTAATCTACAAGACTGTCTAGCGGCTTTCTTCTCCGCTGATGAACTCAAGGGAGACAATATGTATAGCTGTGAGAAATGTAAAAAGTGAGTTATCTCCAATTCTATCAGCCTGTCAAAAATGTAAATGTGAGTATTCTGTGAGAAATTCAAAAGTGGAATATCTCTAATTAAATGATGTAAACAATGATTTATCTAATATTCTCTAATAAGTGAGCTATCTCTAATATTCTCTGTCTCTAAATATGTGAGTAGTGTAAAAAAAAAAGAATGATTATATCACAATCCTCTGATTCTGCTTATTTGATTAAGTAATATTTACAAATACAAATTGTATTGATTATTTTCTGTACAGATTGCGGAATGGTATCAAATATTCTAAAGTCCTGGAATTGCCTGAGGTATGTCGGTCAGAATTTTGACAAGGTATAAAAGTCAAATGAAGAAAGTTGTATCATACCTGATGAAATACATATAATTTCTATCTGTAAATTTAATGACAATAATTTTGAATGGCTAGCTGTAACTGATGTGAAGATAGTGGTATTTTGTTGATGTCTGTGTAACATACAAAGATCTAGTTAAAACTGTACCATTACAGATCCTGTGTGTTCACCTGAAGAGGTTCAGACACGAGTTCTACTCATCAAAGATCAGCTCTTATGTGGCATTTCCATTGGATGGACTGGACATGAAGCCATATACACACAAAGGTAAACAGTGACCTATTTAATCCCAGTGTTACTGGTAAACAGTGACCTATTTAATCCCAGTGTTACTGGTAAACAGTGACCTGTTTAATCATAGTGTAACTGGTAAACAGTGACCTATTTAATTCAAGTTTTACTGGTAAACAGTGACCTATTTAATTCAAGTTTTACTGGTAAACAGTGACCTATTTAATCCCAGTTTTACTGGTAAACAGTGACCTATTTAATTCCAGTGTTACTGGTAAACAGTGACCTATTTAATTGTAGTGTTACTGTTAAACAGTGACCTATTTAATCTCAGTGTTACTAGTAAACAGTGACCTATTTGATTGTAGTGTTACTGGTAAACAGTGACCTATTTAATCCCAGTGTTACTGGTAAACAGTGACCTATTTAATCCCATTGTTACTGGTAAACAGTGAACTATTTAATCGTAGTGTAACTGGTAAACAGTGACCTATTTAATTGTAGTGTTACTTGCAAACAGTGGCTTATTTAATCTTAGGTTTACTGGTAAACAGTGACCTATTTAATCATAGTGTTACTGGTAAACAGTGACCTATTTAATCGTAGTGTAACTGGTAAAGTGACCTATTTAATCGTAGTGTAACTGGTAAACTGACCTATTTAATCGTAGTGTAACTGGTAAACTGACCTATTTAATCGTAGTGTAACTGGTAAACTGACCTATTTAATCGTAGTGTAACTGGTAAACTGACCTATTTAATCGTAGTGTAACTGGTAAACTGACCTATTTAATCGTAGTGTAACTGGTAAACTGACCTATTTAATCGTAGTGTAACTGGTAAACTGACCTATTTAATCGTAGTGTAACTGGTAAACTGACCTATTTAATCGTAGTGTAACTGGTAAACTGACCTATTTAATCGTAGTGTAACTGGTAAACTGACCTATTTAATCGTAGTGTAACTGGTAAACTGACCTATTTAATCGTAGTGTAACTGGTAAACTGACCTATTTAATCCTAGGTTAACTGGTTAACAATAGTTCTATAGGTAAAAAATCCTCTATTTTACTTTAGTTCTACATGTGAACAACAACATACTTCACCCTGTTCTTCAGGAAATCAAAAACTAATATTAGTGTGTGTGCTGCATATATTTAGTGATTCATGTATTTTCTGATTTCAGACTGCAAGTCTGAGGTGATGATCTATGACCTCATAGCTGTTATATGTCACCATGGCACTGCTGGGGGTAAGTCGGTTGTCTTGAAAACAAGAAAATTTCTTAACAGAGAAACATATGAAAGAGAAATAATGGAGACATAATGTCAAGATGTCTGAATGTTTGTGACAAAGAAGCAAAAATAAAATGTAGGTTACTGTTGATTTTATACCAATTTAAGGGTTTTCATGTTACTATATCTGTAGTGACAATCTAATGACAGTATAAATAGGTTATCTACACAATTTATATTGATAGTCTTGTATATTTAGTCTGAAGATTTTGGGCATTTAATTTAAACATTTTGTGCACCTCGGTTCAACGTGTTGCATATTTTGAAGTGTTCTATGTTACAGCTGGTCACTACAGTGTGTATTTAGAAGTGTTCTATGTTACAGCTGATCACTACAGTGTGTATCTAGAAGTGTTATATGATACAGCTGATCACTACAGTGTGTATCTAGTAGAAGTGTTCATGTTACAGCTGATAACTACAGTGTGTATCTAGAGGTGTTCTATGTTACATTTGGTCACTACAGTATGTATCTAGAAGTGTTATATGATACAGCTGATCACTACAGTGTGTATCTAGAAGTGTTATATGGTACAGCTGATCACTACAGTGTGTATCTAGAAGTGTTCATGTTACAGCTGATAACTACAGTGTGTATCTAGAAGTGTTCTATGTTACATTTGGTCACTACAGTATGTATCTAGAAGTGTTATATGATACAGCTGATCACTACAGTGTGTATTTAGAAGTGTTCTATGTTACAGCTTGTCACTACAGTGTGTATCTAGAAGTGTTCTATGTTACAGCTGATCACTACAGTGTGTATTTAGAAGTGTTATATGTTACAGCTGATCACTACAGTGGGTATTTAGAAGTGTTATATGTTACATCTGATCACTACAGTGGGTATTTAGAAGTGTTTTATGTTACAGCTGATCGCTACAGTATGTATCTAGAAGTGTTAATGTTACAGCTGATCGCTACAGTATGTATCTAGAAGGGTTATATGTTACAGCTTGTCTCTACAGTGTGTATCTAGAGGTGTTCTATGTTACAGCTTGTCAATACAGTGTGTATCTAGTAGAAGTGTTCATGTTACAGCTGATCACTATAGTGTGTATCTAGAAGCGTTATATGTTAAAGCTGATCACTACAGTATGTATCTAGAAGTGGTATATGATACAGCTGATCACCACAGTGTGTATTTAGAAGGGTTCTATGTTACAGCTTGTCACTTCAGTGTGTATTTAGAAGTGTTTTATGTTACAGCTGATAACTACAGTGCGTATCTAGAAGTGTTAATGTTACAGCTGATCAATACAGTGTGTATCTACAAGTGTTATATGTTACAGCTTGTCAATACAGTGTGTATCTAGAAGAGTTCATGTTACAGCTGATCAATACAGTGTGTATCTACAAGTGTTATATGTTAAAGCTGATCACTACAGTTGGTATCTAGAAGTGTTATAGGTTACAGCTGGTCACTACCGTGTGTATCTAGAAGTATTCTATGTTACAGCTTGTCTCTACAGTGTGTATCTACAAGTGTTATATGTTACAGCTGGTCACTACACAGCATACTGTCTCAACTACACTAATGAACAGTGGTACGAGTTTGATGACCAGTATGTCACGGAGGTGGACATCAACCAGGTCATCAACTGTGAGGCCTACGTCCTCTTCTACAGGTAAGGTCAAGGTCATTCAACTAGGGTAAGGTAAGGTAAGGTTTAGGTCACTGACATAGATCAGTAGTTGAAATGACTTTTTTAGATGTATGATTAGTTAATATGTAGTTTGATCACTCTCATAGATATAGAAATAGTTCTGGTGACATCACAAAATATAGAAATAGTTCTGGTGACATCACAAAATATAGAAATAGTTCTGGTGACATCACAAAATATAGAAATAGTTCAGGTGACGTCACAAAATATAAAAATAGTTTAGGTGACATCACAAAATATAGAAATAGTTCAGGTGACATCACAAAATATAGAAATAGTTCTGGTGACATCACAAAATATAGAAATAGTTCTGGTGATATCACAAAATATAGAAATAGTTCTGGTGACATCACAAAATATAGGATTAGTTCTGGTGACATCACAAAATATAGAAATAGTTCAGGTGACATCACAAAATATAGAAATAGTTCTGGTGACGTCACAAAATATAGAAATAGTTCTGGTGACATCACAAAATATAGAAATAGGTCTGGGGACGGCACAAAATATAGAAATAGTTCTGGTGACATCACAAAATATAGGATTAGTTCTGGTGACATCACAAAATATAGAAATAGGTCTGGGGACGGCACAAAATATAGAAATAGTTCTGGTGACATCACAAAATATTGAAATAGTTCTGGTGACATCACAAAATATAGGATTAGTTCTGGTGACATCACAAAATATAGAAATAGGTCTGGGGACGGCACAAAATATAGAAATAGTTCTGGTGACATCACAAAATATTGAAATAGTTCTTGTGACATCACAAAATATTGAAATAGTTCTGGTGACATCACAAAATATAGGATTAGTTCTGGTGACATCACAAAATATAGAAATAGGTCTGGGGACGGCACAAAATATAGAAATAGTTCTGGTGACATCACAAAATATTGAAATAGTTCTTGTGACATCACAAAATATTGAAATAGTTCCGGTGACATCACAAAATATAGAAATAGTTCTGATGACATCACAAAATATAGAAATAGTTCAGGTGACGTTACAAAATATAGAAATAGATCTGGTGACATCACAAAATATAGAAATAGTTCTTGTGACGTCACAAAATATAGAAATAGTTCTGGTGACATCACAAAATATAGGATTAGTGCTGGTGACATCACAAAATATAGAAATAGTTCAGGTGACGTCACAAAGTATAGAAATAGTTCAGGTGATATCACAAAATATAGAAATAGTTCTGGTGACATGACAAAATATAGAAATAGTTCTGATGACATCACAAAATATAGAAATAGTTCTGGTGACGTCACAAAATCTAGAAATAGTTCAGGTGACGTCACAAAATATAGAAATAGTTCAGGTGACGTCACAAAATATAGAAATAGTTCTTGTGACGTCACAAAATATAGAAATAGTTCATTTGTTCAGATAATTTTATTAGGTGTTTATGAATGTTTTGTTTTTAAATTGCAGGAAAAGAAATGATAAAATGATATCTATAAGACAGAAAGCCATGCAGCTCAAGGAAACACAGGAGGTTAGTATTACAGAAGCACAATGTCTGTCAACTTAAGAGCTTTGAAACAATAAAATTTGTAAGTTACCTATAACTGTATAACATTTTACAAATTTAAAGAGGATAATGTTATATAGAAAACTTGCTGGTCACTGTGTATGAAAGAAATTATTTATGTTAGTTAGATATAAACACTTTGAAGGGGAGATTATTGTTCATATAACAGAAATCTTGTTTTGAACAGTCGAGTCTCCTGCAGTTTTTTGTATCCAAACAATGGATCAACCGTTTTAACATGTTTGCTGAGCCTGGTCCCATCACCAACTTTGACTTCCTGTGTCCTCATGGAGGTAATTATCTGCCTTTGTACATGTTATATTGCCATGTTCTTATATATTTTTGGATTGCTATTAGTCAAAGTAACACAATATTGGTGGAAAAGTATCACTGATTGTTTGTATTTGTTGTGGAAAGTTATGTCCACTACTTTAGAACAGTGGTGGTCAGCTGGTTTGTCTGAATACTGTGTGTGTAGTATCCTAGTGTTGTCTGGCATTTCCCTAGGGAATATATACATAGTACAATTTACAGGATGATCATGGGTTTCATTTTGAGATAAGAAATCAAAGAATGGTCTCATAATTAATGTGAATGAATATATATATATATATTATAAAAAGAAAAATTCTCAACAACGAGTCTTAAGTACTTTCATCTCTTCTAGGAGATTCTTCAAATATATATATATATAGGCTTGTAAAGGGAAACTTAATCATGTAAAACTAGTGTCAGTCAAAAGTGAAAATTGATCTTGTCAAAAACTTATTGTTCTATCAGAGAGTGAAGCAGAAAACAAACCAAATGTAAATTGATACAACTTGCCAATGTTTAATGCCGTTAGATATCCTTAAATTTGAGGTAATCATTGACAAGCATGTGTTAAGGTTGTATGATGTCCCAAGCCCACGTTGTACCTGTAATGTTACTGATAAGGTTGTATGATGTCCCAAGGCCATGTTGTACCTGTAATGTTACTGATAAGGTTGTATGATGTCCCGAGGCCACGTTGTACCTGTAATGTTACTGATAAGGTTGTATGATGTCCCGAGGCCACGTTGTACCTGTAATGTTACTGATAAGGTTGTATGATGTCCCGAGGCCACGTTGTACCTGTAATGTTACTGATAAGGTTGTATGATGTCCCAAGGCCACGTTGTACCTGTAATGTTACTGATAAGGTTGTATGATGTCCCAAGGCCACGTTGTACCTGTAATGTTACTGATAAGGTTGTATGATGTCCCAAGGCCACGTTGTACCTGTAATGTTACTGATAAGGTTGTATGATGTCCCAAGGCCACGTTGTACCTGTAATGTTACTGATAAGGTTGTATGATGTCCCAAGGCCACGTTGTACCTGTAATGTTACTGATAAGGTTGTATGATGTCCCAAGGCCACGTTGTACCTGTAATGTTACTGATAAGGTTGTATGATGTCCCAAGGCCACGTTGTACCTGTAATGTTACTGATAAGGTTGTATGATGTCCCAAGGCCACGTTGTACCTGTAATGTTACTGATAAGGTTGTATGATGTCCCAAGGCCACGTTGTACCTGTAATGTTACTGATAAGGTTGTATGATGTCCCAAGGCCACGTTGTACCTGTAATGTTACTGATAAGGTTGTATGATGTCCCAAGGCCACGTTGTACCTGTAATGTTACTGATAAGGTTGTATGATGTCCCAAGGCCACGTTGTACCTGTAATGTTACTGATAAGGTTGTATGATGTCCCAAGGCCACGTTGTACCTGTAATGTTACTGATAAGGTTGTATGATGTCCCAAGGCCACGTTGTACCTGTAATGTTACTGATAAGGTTGTATGATGTCCCAAGGCCACGTTGTACCTGTAATGTTACTGATAAGGTTGTATGATGTCCCAAGGCCACGTTGTACCTGTAATGTTACTGATAAGGTTGTATGATGTCCCAAGGCCACGTTGTACCTGTAATGTTACTGATAAGGTTGTATGATGTCCCAAGGCCACGTTGTACCTGTAATGTTACTGATAAGGTTGTATGATGTCCCAAGGCCACGTTGTACCTGTAATGTTACTGATAAGGTTGTATGATGTCCCAAGGCCACGTTGTACCTGTAATGTTACTGATAAGGTTGTATGATGTCCCAAGGCCACGTTGTACCTGTAATGTTACTGATAAGGTTGTATGATGTCCCAAGGCCACGTTGTACCTGTAATGTTACTGATAAGGTTGTATGATGTCCCAAGGCCACGTTGTACCTGTAATGTTACTGATAAGGTTGTATGATGTCCCAAGGCCACGTTGTACCTGTAATGTTACTGATAAGGTTGTATGATGTCCCAAGGCCACGTTGTACCTGTAATGTTACTGATAAGGTTGTATGATGTCCCAAGGCCACGTTGTACCTGTAATGTTACTGATAAGGTTGTATGATGTCCCAAGGCCACGTTGTACCTGTAATGTTACTGATAAGGTTGTATGATGTCCCAAGGCCACGTTGTACCTGTAATGTTACTGATAAGGTTGTATGATGTCCCAAGGCCACGTTGTACCTGTAATGTTACTGATAAGGTTGTATGATGTCCCAAGGCCACGTTGTACCTGTAATGTTACTGATAAGGTTGTATGATGTCCCAAGGCCACGTTGTACCTGTAATGTTACTGATAAGGTTGTATGATGTCCCAAGGCCACGTTGTACCTGTAATGTTACTGATAAGGTTGTATGATGTCCCAAGGCCACGTTGTACCTGTAATGTTACTGATAAGGTTGTATGATGTCCCAAGGCCACGTTGTACCTGTAATGTTACTGATAAGGTTGTATGATGTCCCAAGGCCTTGTACCTGTAATGTTACTGATTTGGTTGTATGATGTCCCGAGGCCACGTTGTACCTGTAATGTTACTGATAAGGTTGTATGATGT